TCTTGAGTCGGTCGGTGCGGCGTCTACCCCCAGCGGGAGACGCCGCTCTGGCAAGGGCAAGGGGGGCAGGGGCGCTGGTGGAGCTAGCGGGGGTGGTGGAGGCGGCGGTGGAGGCGGCGGAGGGAGTGGGGGTGGCGGTGGGAGTGGTGGCGGGGGTGGAGGTGTCGGTGGCGGCAGTGGAGGCGGAGGCGGTAGCGGTGGGAGCGGAGGCGGCGCTGGTGGCGGAGGTGGAGGAGGCGGTGGTGGAGGAGGTGGAGCTGGTCGGGGTGGCGCTACGCAGCGGGGCGGCTCCGGTGGTGGTCAGCGCCAGCAGCAGCAGCAGCAGCGTTCTCGGGACATCCCACCCCCCTCAGCAACTCCGTGAGTGGTACGCTGCACGTCAGCGTGGTGGGGGTATCGGTCTGTGCACCTACGTCCTACGCACCGGCGACCGCGCAGGTGAGTAGTGTGGGGGTGCACACCCCACCCAGCGCTGCTTTGGCCGCCTGACGGACACTTGGCGTCATCAGTTCCCGGAGGCCACTGAGATCCCCCGCTGGGGTGAGGTGTCTAGGGTGGGTGTAGCTGTCTTTGATCTTGACTTTTGATGCTATTCTTGCTGCCATGTATGCTGTGACTATTAGCGATGAGGGTGACTGTTACCGGTGTTTCCCGCCCGACCCGGGCATTGGTACTGCTGCTCTAGGTACTGGTGAGGCTGCTGCTCTAGGTGCCAGTGAGGCTGCTGCTCTAGGAGCCAGTGCGTCTGCGTCCTCAGGTGTTGGTGAGTCTGCGCTATCAGGTACCACGTCGGCTTTGGCCTCCCTCACCTTCACACTTGACTCAAGGGCTTCTCGCTCCTTCTTTCGAGACCGCACCACACTCACGCCGCTTGGTCGGCCGGTTGCAGTCTCCCTGGCAGACCCCTCTGGGGGTCCTGTCCTTTCTCACTTCTCCACTGTCCTCCCGTGTCCGGCGGCCCCCTCTGGCACCTTGTCTGGTCTTTACCTCCCCTCATTCTCTACGAACCTGGTGAGTGGTGCTGACCTACAGGATGCGGGGGTTCACCAGTTTACTCCTGCGAGTCAGCGGGTGACCCACTGCTCGGACGCTCGCACAGGCCGGCACCTGGCCACGTTTGCGCGTCGGCCGGGGCCGAGCCTGTACACCCTGACCACTTAGTCTCCTCCTGTCCCTGCGTCTGGTCAGGTAGCTGCGTCGGGTCAGGTGTTTGCTGCAGCGTCCAGGTCTGGCCCTGAGTCTGCCCCCTGCTCGTGTCGCCTCCTGTCTCACGAGACTCTCCTGTGGCACCACCGCCTTGGTCACCCCTCCCTGCCTCGTCTCCGAGGCATGGCCTCCCGTGTCCTTGTCTCTGGTCTTCCCCGGTCCCTCCCTCCCCTTCCTCCGGGGCCTGGCCCTACCTGCGTCCCCTGTGTCGAGGGGCGGCTGCGGGCTGCCCCTCACTCCTCTCAGTATCCCCCGACAGCGGCCCCACTGCAGACGCTTCACATGGACGTGTGGGGCCCAGCCCGCGTCCGTGGACAGGGTCACGAGCGCTACTTCCTGCTGGTGGTTGACGACTACTCGCGTTACACCACAGTCTTCCCCTTGCGCAGCAAGGGTGATGTCACTGAGGTGTTGATCGACTGGATCCGCGCAGCTCGTCTCCAGCTCAGGAGGAGCTTTGGCTCGGACTTTCCTGTTCTGCGTCTGCACTCTGACCGAGGCGGAGAGTTGTATGCCGGAGTACGAACGCCGCATCGAGAGGAGACAACAGGGGAGAGAGCCACCGTCTCTGAAGGAGAGGATCTCCAGGCTATGGACGCTCGAGGGGTCGGTGTGTGTGATGGAGCTCTACGGAGGCATCGGTACCGGGTTGGCGGTAGTGCTGAAGGCGGGATGCAGAGTGCGGAAATGGATTCATGTGGAACGGAACCCAGTGGTGCGGCGGATGGCTCAGCATCACGCACGGCTGCTACTGGAAGAGTACCCGGAGCAGATAGCGGAGTCTGCTATCCCAGCCGAGGATGAAGAAGTGGTGGATGACGTGAGGACCATTACGGTGGAGAAACTGGAGTAGTGGGGGCAGATCGATGTCATCATCGCGGGATGGGAATGTCAAGGGTACTCGTGTGGAGGAGAGGGGATGGGGATGGAAGATATCCGGGGGGCCTCTTTCAGGGATCTGAAGAGGGTATTGGAGATGGTCCAGAACCAGCAGGGGGAAGTGTTGTACATTCTGGAAAACGTGGACTTCGCCGAGGATTGCCGGGAACACGTGAGGAGGGCGTTTGCGGAGGTGGAGGCGGCCGTCGGCAAGGGGCAGGCGGTTGACGCAGTGCAGTTAGGGTCCAGGGCCCACCGACCAAGAAGGTACTGGCAGAACGGGATCTCGGACGCGAGCATGCGTCACGCGCTCGCGCAGATGCAACGGCCCGAACCCAGGCTGGTCAGTGACATCCTGGGTCCCAACCGACTGCCCGCACCCGTCACCACTCCTGACCATCCGTCACAATATCAGTGCAACGTGCCAGGGAAGCCGAGGCAGGCGCTGCCTACGCTCGTGTCCTACGTGGACGCGTACGGGTTCGTGATGGAGGGGGACCTGCCAGGTCCGGGAATGATCTACGATGTAGTGGGGAAGCGGTGGGAGCAACCTACAGCTGCCGAACGGGAGTTAGCCATGGGCCACAGCCTGGGAGCCACCGCCCATCCTCGAGTGACGGAGCCCCAGAGACGCGCGGCGCTGGGCCGAGCTATGGATTTGAACGTCATGGCGTGGCTAGTGGAGACTATCCGCATGCACTTGAAGCGGAAGGAGCTGCAACGCGGCATAGAGGTCAGCGAGATGTACCAAGAGGAGGAGGAGGCTGAGATGAAGCGGCGCCAACTGCAAGCGATAGAAGAACAGGAAGAGGCGCGGATTTTAGAAGGATGGTCCTACATGGCCGTGGGAGTAACGGAGAGAGGTGCGGATCAGGGGGTGCTGCCTCCGGACGGAGAACTGCCAGCCCCCGCGGAGAGGCCAAGTCAGGAAAGGGGCTCGGATGACGACTGGCCCATTGGCATAGGAATGGGGGCAGAAGCGGCGCGAGCGTTGCAGGAGGTGCTGAGGATGCACCGGCAGACGTTCGCTTATACCCTGCAAGAGCTGGGCCAGTGCAACACGCATCAGATGCAAGTGAAACTGACGACAGAAGTCCCCATATACCAGAGGAAACGGAGGATGAGTCCCGGGGATCTAGATATCTGCAGGGAGAAGTGTGCCGAGCTATTGGCTGCGGGCCTCATCCAGAACTCGGACACTGACTATGCAGCAGCAACGGTGGTGGCTGCACGGAAAGATCTCACGGGGGAAGTGTCGGCCAGGAGGATGTGTGGGGACTACTGAGGGCTTAACAAAGTGACGGTGGCGGATCGGTACCCCATGCAATCAGCCGAGGAGATATTCGACAGGCTGCAGGGGGCGGTAGTGTTCAGCACGCTGGATCTCCGCCAGGGGTTCAACCAGATACCGATTTGGGAGGAGGACCGCAAAAAGACAGCCTTCCATAGGCCGGATGGATTACACGAGTGGAAGTTCATGCCCTTCGGCATGAAGAACGCGCCGGCTTTGTTCCAGAGGGTGATGGATGTAGTGCTGAGAAATGTCCCCGCGGCAGCCTGCTACATAGACGACGTGGTGGTGTTCAGCGCCTCCGATGAGCAGCACGTGAAGGACGTGAGCGACACGCTGGCGGCTATACGAGATGCAGGACTGACCTGCCATCCGAAGAAGTGCAGTTTTGGCAACAGCACCGTGAAGTATCTAGGGTTCGAGGTACAAGGGGGGCGACTGAGCATCCAACAGGCGAAAGTTGAGGTGCTGGACCGAGTCCCCGCCCCTAAGGATCGTAGCACGCTGCGGGCGGTGCTAGGCTTCCTCAACTACTACCGCAAGTTTGTACCTAACTTCAGTCGCACGGCCGCAGTATTGAACAAGCTGTTGAGAGAGGAGCAGCCATGGCAGTGGGGAGAGGCAGAGCAGGGGGCATTCAAAGCCCTACTGAAGGCTGTGAAGACCGGGACAGTGCTCACTCTGCCCAGCAAAGAGGATCCTTTCACGCTCTACACGGACTGGAGCAGTGCCGGCATGGGAGGTATCCTATGTCAAGAACGGGAAGGACAGGAGATGGTAGTGGCGTTTGCGAGCAGGAGCTGCAACCCCGCAGAAGCCAACTACAGCTCCTATGAGGGGGAAGGGCTAGCGGTGGTGTGGGCCATCACTCATTTCCGGGTATACCTGCAAGGGAGACCGTTCACGTTAGTCACAGACCATCAACCTCTAACCTGGCTGATGACTAACCAGGCTCTGACAGGGAGGAATGCCCGATGGGCGATGAGATTGCAGGAGTACGAGTTCACGATTCGGCACCGAGCGGGGAAAACGTTGCAGCACGTGGACGGGCTCTCCCGGAACCCGCCCCCTACTAGCCCAGAGGCGTGCTTGGTGGCAATGGCCCGCGAGATTGACGGAGAAGGAGCGAAGCAGCACGCACAACGAGGAGCTGACGACATCTGGGAAGATGACGAGACCCTGAGGTGGATCCAGGGAAAGACGTCCGAGGCAGAGACAGTGAGTGAGAGAGCGAGAGACATGGTTTAGGACTAGTCCTTAGCCGTTTTCCCAGCCCTCTCTAGTGTAGGATCCAGTCCTTAGCCGTTTTTCAGCCTAGTACCCTAGTATATAGTTCCTAGATGCTCCCTTCTGAGCTCATTCTTCACTGGTGAGTTCAGTTTACTCTCCAAAACCGGCGGCTCGCGCCGGCCGCCTTCGGCGGCCGCCGCTCGCCAGCGCGGCCTTCGGCCGCGCGTGAGGGGAGGCAAGGAACAAGGAGAGCGGGGACTTTAGCAGCAAGTGATACAACATGCAGGGGTAGCTTCCTACAACAAATGCACCACCCCCAGGCGTGCATACACCGCCATGGGGAAGCCCAAGGCCAGGCCCGCCTCACAGGGGGCTGGCAAGGGGAAGCAACCCCCTACTCAACCAGGACCCAGCAAAGCCGCCCGTCCAACCAGCGCAGGACGGATGCGGCAGCGGCTACAAGGTCGAGCGGGTCCTCCTGGGCAGACTCGGCAAGCCGCGCCAAAGCACCAGGACCGGGCCCAAGGGCAGCTCCGGGGGAGCCCGGTACAAAGCCAATCAGCGGGAGGTAATGCTTCAACTCCTCCGCTGCCGCCACCGCCGCCGTTTGCTCTGCTGGCTGCATCGCCCCGATCTGCACCTCTTGCTGCACCAGGGACACGTGAAGCTGGTCAAGCACATACGACAGGAGTGTCAAGCAAGAACCCACGTGCATCACGCGTTGCTCGACGAGGGTTGGGGCCCACCAGGCACCACGGCAGGAGGAGGAGGTGGTACGGGAGGTGTCAACGGCTGCCATGGGCGCTGCACAGGGGGGCTGCCATACAAGTACCGATGGAACGACGGCGGAGACGGTACTGCCTGGGGGTTCTGAGCGGGCAGGAGCGGCGACGGGGGAGCATGTGACACCGAGGGACGCAGCTGATGCGGACGAAGGGGTAGGGGAAAACGACGAAGCGGAGATTGTGTCGGCAGCTGCGACGGGGAAGCCTGTGGTGGCTGATGCTAACGGGCCTGTAGTGGGGACCGCGGCAGACCCTGCGCCTGCCGGCGGTTCTGCCGCTGCCGTTGACGGCGGCTCAGCTTCACCCGCTGCCACCCCTCGGGCTGCACAGGCAGAGGCTGAGGAGATGAGGCCGGGCGCGGCCCCTGAGCAATCCGCTGAGGTGGCGTTGTCTGCGTCGCCTGCGCCAGTAACGGCGGCGGCACTGGCGGCGGCGGTGTCCACGGCGATTGGGGAACACGGCGACGCCCCGGCGGAGGAAGGCGCGACGACTGCCGCGGCTTGCGCCGGAACGTCTGCTGCTGTCGTGGCCGTAAGCAGGCAGGAGCACGGCCAGGCAGAGGGAGAGGCTCCGGGACTCGCAAGCGGCGCTTCTTCCGGCGCTGCACGTTCGAGGTCGAAGACAAGGCTGCGGGCCCAGCCAGCGCCGAGACGGCCCGGAGCAGGGCTGGGACCTGGCTCCCCGGGACCCCTCCTGGGCTGGCTTCTGCAAGGGCAATCGCCATCAGAGCGAGCGCATCGGTCGTCATCGTCGAACCTGCAGGAGGTGCGCGAGGTGGCCGATCCTGGAAGCCGCCAGCCAGGAATCACCCGGGGTGCTCCTGCACCCAACGCGACACCAGCGACGACAGCGCACGCTGTGGCGCCCAACACAACGAACGCCGTCGCGAACAACACCCGCCGCGCGACACGACGAACGGCAATAACCTGGGGACCGCCCCGGGGAGGCCGGACACCGTGGTTACCAGCGGGACGTGGTGCGATGGGCGGGGGGACGAGAGCGCCAACAGGCGGGGGGCGGACTCAACGGGGGTTCGGTGCACGGGGAGCGCGCGGAGGACGTGGGGGAAGGGCACTGGTGGGGGGGTCTGAGATCCCCGCGCGTACTGGCACCTGGCGGGAACGCCACGACAGGCCAGGAGCGGTGGAAGTACCAACGAATGAGGGACAGCCAGCAGGCTCTGACGATAACGCCAGCGACCCAGAGTTTATGTGTGGTGAAGAAGCTGATTCTGAGGAGGTGTCACTGGAAGAGGAAACTGGGGTGGCCAGAAATGCCCCAAAATCGTGTGGACGAGGGCTGAACGGGACTGCACAGAACCAACGGGCGGTGGGAGATACAGCAGGAGAAACTGAGGGGACAGATGTCTTCTCGCCCTATGACATGGCGAAGGAAGAGTCCATCTGGCAGGGAGCTAGGGGGTGGGATATGAAGCAACTGCAACGAGGGGACCAGCCTTTCCTTGTCCGCCGCCTGCCCCCACAAATTCTGGACAAATACTGCCTCTGTTTGCTGGCACCTCTCCTCAGGCTGGAAAAATTCCCTACGTGCCTTGGTGCGTGGAAGATCCTGCTGTTCCTACCGAGGCTTACACTCCGACCCTCTCCCGAACCCGTCGCTGGGAGCCGCTGGGCTCGAATTGAGGCTCGGCTACATCAATTTCAGCAAGGGAACTGGGATGACCTTTTCGAGGAAGCCGGAACCGTGCCCGATACAGACGCCCCGCTACGACACCAACCTGACGACGAAGGGGTTTGTGCACGCGCCGAAGGACTAATGAAGAAGGGGAATATCTCGAAGGCAGTTGCTGCGTTACGCTCCAGCCCACTCGCTGAGCCTAGTTCGTCAACCATCGCTGCACTCCAGGCGAAACACCCACCTGCCGAAGACGACATCCCGGCCTGGGTAACAGGAATAGCAACTTCTGAACTCGCCGTCCAGGTTGACACTCTCCGCGAAATCCTGGCAAAATGCCCGAATGGAGTGGGTGGGGGGCCCTCTGGAACATGTTTCAAGCACCTAAGGGATCCAGCTCTAGCCAACGAGGAGATCTTAATCCTACTCGCCAGGACAGCCAACACACTCCTTAGCACATTCCAGTCCCAGGAGCTGCGCGACCTCATCCTAACCTCACGCCTGATAGCCTTAGAGAAACCAGGGGGTGGGGTCAGGCCTATCGCGATAGGCGAAACATTACTCCGAGTAGTAGCGAAAGCGGCTCTTCACTCTCTTGGCCCTAAGATCAGAGAGTTCTTTCTTCCGGTCCAGTTCGGAGTGGCTATCCCGGGAGGAGCGGAATGTATTATCCACTCCGTCAGGGCGCTACTTCAGGAGGACGAAGCACGGATTGCGCTGCAGCTAGACGTAGAGAACGCATTCAACAGCGTTGAACGCAAAGCATTTTTCGAAGCCCTTCAGTGGTCCGCCCTTAGCCCACTCCTCCCCCTGGTCCAAAACCTCTACGATGGCCCGTCGCGGCTACTAGTCGACCAACGCTTCGGCACAAACCACATCCTGAGCTCCCACGGAGTCCGCCAGGGAGATCCGCTCGGCCCGCTTCTGTTCGCAGCTGCAATCCAGCCAGCCCTGCTAAGCGTGGCCACTACACTGCCAGAGGTGGCGATTGTTGCCTACGCAGACGACATCACGATCGTCGGCCCACGGGAGGCTGCCTGCACCGCCTTCAACACGATCGCCTCGGCTCTGAAAGCGGTGGGACTGTGCTGCAACATAAACAAATCATCAGCGTGGGGACGGAACACGGGCGGGCAGCAGGAGGAGCTGCCACTCGGGCTGACCATGAACCAGGGAGGAATCAGAGTGCTGGGCAGTCCAGTGGGGAACGAGGGCTTCTGCACTGACCACGTGCGGTCGGCACTGGGAGAAGCGGCGTCGCCACTCCTCCTCATCTCGCAACTAAACCCGCAGCATGCGCTTCTCATGGTCTCGCGCAACATCTCTCGGCGGATCTCATATATGCTTCGGACGACTGCGGCATCAACACTAAGCACGCGAGAGTGGAGGGAGTGGAGCGAGGCTCTCCTGGGCTCGGCACTCACTGCGGCGAAACTTCGGATCCCCTCCTCCGAGCTTGAACAGAGCCTGCTGTGGCGTCAGGGAACACTCCCTATCCGCCTAGGTGGCCTCGGAGTGATTGACCCTATCTCTGAAGCACCCGCTGCCTACCTGGCTTCAGTCGCGGCAGCACACACCCTACTGAGGCAACTGGACCTGCCAACTGACTGCCTCCTGAGCCGAGCGACTCAGCTCCTCTCCCACGATTGGGTCCCACCGCCACCAGAGTCCAACCCCAGAGCCACTATGGAAGGTTCGCTCCCTGCTGAAGCCCGAGCAACACTGAAGCAGTACAGGGAGGGGAGTCCAGGCACAGGGAACCTGCAGCTGGGGCTGTCGAAGTCTATCAACCAGCGGCGGGCCTTGGAGCTACTAGCGGACACCCTACAGGACCGGCCGGGGGAGGACAGGGGTCATGCCATCCGCCTCATCAGCCTAAAGGGGGTGGGTGCAGGTGACTGGCTCCATGCCATGCCAACGAGAGGAGACCTTAGCATATCCCCTGGTCAATTCTCGATGGCCCTCGGCCTGCGTTTGGGCATGGAGCTGCCGGTCGCCGAGGTGTGCCCTTGCAAGCGGGATAACTTGACCATCTCCGACAAGAGCCTCCCCAACCACCTCCTGCGGTGTGGGGATGGTGGTGACGTTGTAAGGACCCACAACGCTCTGGTCTTTGCAGCACTCCGAATGGCCAAGGATGCAGGTTACAAGACGTTCCATGAGACCACGGCATTCTCTCCCCCGGTCCTCCGGAAGCGAGCAGACCTGGCCATTCGGGACCAGGAGTCGGGGGAGACGTGGGTAACCGATGTCACAGTTACAGACCCCGTTCTGCAGAAGCGGGATAAAAGAGCCAGGAAGCCGCCGGGGTGGGCAGCAGAGGAGGCCTCCGAGGGTAAACACAGGCTCTACGAGGGCCGCCCTAGCTATGCCGGCTTCTTTGGGCTAGCGGTAGAGACATACGGTGCTCTGGCTAAGGACACGCAACAGTTCATCCGCATGCTAGCCACCTCTGCCGCCAGGACGAAATACAGGAAGGGACGCCTCACGACGACCGCCGCCCGCCTCAATGCACACTTCAGGCAACGGTGGTCCGTGGTGCTCCAGCGCAGCCAAGCGATCTCCCTCCTGTCAAAGTCAAACCGAGCAGCGGAAGCGGCTTTCCCACAGGCAGCGGCGGACCCTTGGGCACCTCGGCTAGGTGACCTATGGCAGACCCTGGAGGACGAGTACGAAGAGAGACACGCCCCTACCAGGGCGGCCTGAGGGGTTGAGGGTGCTGGGAAGGTAGGAAGTTGATGACGGGAGGAGGGGGGGCGGCAGGGGAGGGGTACATGTGTGCGCTAAGAAGCAGGGGGGGTTGTGCTGGGTCGGGGAGGCCGCCTCAGGGAAGGTGTGAGGAAGCTGCGGGGGTGAAGAGGGATAAGGTGTGGCCCTAGGGTATATGAGGAATAAGGGATAGGTGGAATGTGGGGTACTCAGGTACCTGCGCTGCTGTGGACCGGGCTGCTCTGAGTGCTAGGGGATCTGTATGCTTCAGCTGGGCAGGCTTGCTCAGTTTGTCTGTTAGTTCTGGTTCCCTGGTTGCTTCCATGTTTAGTCAAGGCAGTTACCACCACTTGCCATGCCTGTACCTTTATGACCCATATAATGCATGACTGCTTGAGAGCCAGGGCCAGAGGGCTGCATTATCGGTGGTTCCAAGGTCAACTGCAGAAGACTACCAAGGAAGTGTGGAAGCTAGTCCCTAGACGGGAAGAGCGGGAGGAGATAATCGCGAAGGTGCATCGGCAGTTGGGGCATTACGGCAGCCTGCGGACAAGCCAGCTGATAGAGACGGGCTGGTGGTGGGCAGGCATGAGAGGAGACATCAAAGCTTGGGTGAGCTCGTGCGAGCTATGCAGCCGGAACAAAGCAGAGCTCGAGAAGGGAAGGGAGGAGCTTCAGTCTTTACCTATCCGGGGAATAGGGTTTCGTTGGTCCCTAGATCTGGCAGGAGAGATGCCGCTCAGCCGGAGGGGGAAGAGGTTCATTCTGATCATGATTGAGCACGGCAGCAAATGGGTGGAAGTCAAGGCCCTGCCGAGCAAGAGTTCAGCAAAGATGGCCGAGGCATTCGGGGAGCAAGTGCTGACACGCTTCGGAGCCTGCGGAGAAGTACTAACGGACCAAGGCACTGAGTTTTTGGGTGAATTCGAGAAGTTGCTGAAGGCGAGTGGCATTACTCACCGGCGGACCTCACGGTACCATCCGCAGAGCGACGGCCTGACAGAGAGGTTCGTGCAGACCATGAAGCGGGGACTAAGGGCATACAGAGATAAGTTCAAGTGAGATTGGGATGCAAGGCTACCCTGGGTGGCGGCGGGATACCGATTCAGTAAG